GAGAAATTACCCCCCCACCCCCCAGTGGGGATGGCTAAACACACACATGTGACCAGCATGATTCTTAAGCCACCAGGTTTGGTACTCAAATCACAGTTGACCACGTGGGAGTCACGTGGGAGTCCAGCCCCTAAACCACCTCCCACCTGCTGGAACAGGTCCCTACTGGAACATTATTTAACCTGAGAACTACACAAGCTCCATGTTGAAAACCAGTTTAGCATGGCAGTATTAAAAGCCAGTATCAAAGCAAGTGGCAGCAAGAAGGCCAGTATGTGATGGACGGGGAAGTGAAGAGAAGGTAAGACCTGAGAAAACTCCACACCATACACTGTCATAGTTGAAACACTCAGCTCTGCAAACCAAGTCAGAGTCGCCCGGCAGAGAGAGGAGCGCATTGCAAGAGCTGCAGCGGCCTCAGTGGTACGAGCTACCGGTGTTAGTGTGTGCTCGCTGTGTACCGGGCATCAGCGCAGTTCATGTGCCATAGCTCACTGCATCACAGTTTAAGTTTACTTTACTTTCACTGAAGTGATACATGCATGCACTTGCACAGTCAGGGACAGTAAGCCTCTAGCGAAGAGCAGCAGTCCTCTGTCTACCCTCTCCCATCTCTAATCCTCTCCAGAGACAACCACTTTCACCTCTTAATTGTTTCCTCTGGTATTTACCTCTTTGTTTCTAAATAATGTGCTCATCTTGTTACTTCATGCTTTCGTCTTTATCTGTTGACTTGCTCTTGGGTTGGGTAGTGATTTAGCTCTCTGGTCCACTTCTCTCGCACACACAGCTCTTAGATGTGCTGTCTTGAGCTCAGCCCGGCGGCGTAGGTGGTAGTGTACTGAACTGTGGTGTTGGAAGCCACGTGGACAACTGCGGTTCGGATCTCTGGTCCAGTCAGCCTGAAACATGCTGGGCATATGCACAGCTCAGGATCCTGATGAGACAGTGCTGAGGCAAGGGGATTGTGGTGTGAAGAGACTCAAAGATCATACTCCTCTCTCGTTTTTTTTCTCTCATGTGCATGCAAGCACTCTCTGTCATGAAAAAAATATATATATATTTTTTCTTTTTTTGGTTTTGCCACTGTGCATGTGTGCTTGCTAGAGAGGGACTGAGAGAGACAGTGAAAGGAAAAGTGAGAAATCAGCCCCCAGGGGGATGGCCAGGCTGCAATCCCTTCTCCTCCATTCTCCTCTCAGGATGTTGAACACGTATGCACAGCAGTCGGCCATGTGGGAGTCCAGTGACTTAACTACCATGCCACCTGCTGACCCCAAATAAAAATAAACTTTAAAAGATAGAGCAAATTAACAACAAAAAAAGATATTTTCTTAGTCTGACAGTGTTGCTTTAACAAAATATTCAAGACTGGCTAATCTATAAACATCAAAAGTTATTTCTCACAGCTGGACTTTGGGAAGTCCAAGCCCAAGGTGCAGGTAGGTTCAGTGTCTGGTGAGGGCATGCACTTCAGAGATGCCACCATCTAAGTTTCCTCACATAGTGGAAGGGATGGACAGTCAAAAGGGACGATGCCGTGTCCTCACATGGAAGGGAGGGAGAGCAAAAAAGGGCATTAACTAGTTCTCTCCAACCCTTTTATAAGTACTAACCCCTTTCTGAGGGCTGTCCTCACGACTTAATCACTTCCTTAAAACTACTTTTCTTTTTCTTTTTTTTCTTTTCTAAGGTTTTTGCCATCGGGTGCATAGAGACACAGAGAGATACAGTAAAAGGGAAAATGAGAAATCGCCCCCAGAAAGGAATGGCCATGCTGCAATCCCTTCTCCTCCATTCTCCTCCCTGGGATTTTGAACATGCATGCACACATGCCCAGCATACTTTTCAAGTCACCAGGTCTGGGACTTAAACTGCAGTTGGTCATATGGGAGTCCAGCACCTTAACCAGTATGCCATCTGCTGACCACCCCTCCTCCCCCCGCCAGCCTCGCTTCTTAATACCACCATAAGGGATTAAGTTGGTTTTTTTTTTTTTTTTTTTTGAGAGATTTTCACTGTAGGGTGCGTGCGCTCACCAGACAGACAGAGAGAGACATAGAGACAGAAAGCGAGAAATCATCCCCCAGGGGGGATGGTCACGCCGCAATCGCTTCTCCTCCATTCTCCTCTTGGGATCTTGGGCACGCACGCACACACGCCCGGCGTGAGTTTTAAGCCACCGGGTCCGGGACACGAACCGCGGTCGACTACGTGGGAGTCCAGCGACATAGCCATTACGCTAACTGCTGGTTCCCCATAAGGGATTAAGTTTTAATATAAATTTTGGAGATGACACATTCAAATTATAGCATATGTTTATATCATGATTTTAGTTCGGTTAATAGCATGCACTGCCCAGTCAAGAAGTATGATGTAATCTTTTTCATCAAATTATCTTTTTTCTGAAGTAAATAATTGCTCTTCTTTCTCTCTTGCTCAGTTCTAAGTACATATAATTACTGTTTCTCCAGACTTGCTAATAGATCGGTCAATCGATCTACCCATAATTTGGCCAGTTTCAAATAATCATTTCTATTCC